TACGTTGTTGATGAGCCTTTATAGTTTACCGATAAATTATTGCCCATTAGAATAGCCTGTAATCGAAGTTAATTAGCAAGGGATTTGGATCGATGATCGTTGCCTTTCAATAGGAATTGTTTTAACACAACTTACAAGCCAACGAGGATGATTACTGCGGTTGATTAGAGTAAAATTTCATTCCATCCTGCTGAGGAAAAAATCTCACTGAAATATTACAAAAGTCAAGCAAGGTAGTTTTTAATTTGAAAATTAAATTTCAATTTTTCGAGGAAGTGCGTGACACTAATAATAAGATTGATTGTAGACAGTGTTGTCAATAACAGACGATCTCGTCCGTTATAAATAACTAGAGGATTAAGGTGAAGGCTGTTAGACCTGATGTGGCATAATAAATGTATGTGTCTATCTATTGTTTGCTGAAAGTGAAAAATAAAGTGTTGATTTAACCGCAATACTAAAAAACGATTTATTATTTGCACTACACAGGTGATACCATTAAGTAAAGTTCATTAAACGCGGTATTTTTAATAAAAACCTATATGAATTTAAAATTGTAGTCGTTCCTCTAGAGCTGAAGAATATCTGGCTTTATTGGGCAAGCAAAAAGCAACGTTTTTTAATTACTTTTGTCTAAAAGTGGAATTTTTTGAGATTAATGGCAAATAGATGAAATCTCAACTCTATTTGTTTGGAGCTTTATTGAGCCAAAAATTAAAAACAACTAGTTCTCACCGAGAAAAAAATACGCTTTTTTTTGACCAACATTCGCCAACTCTCGGATTAACATCAACTTAAAATAGCCTGAAAAGTTTTCGGAGCCAGATGGTGTTAAATGTTCAACTTTCGATCTTTTCATTAAAGTGTCTATAGTTCGGCTTTTATTTTCCATTCCAGACATCAATATTTGAACATCGAAGGTTTTTAGATACTAAAACAAGTTCTACATCGAACAACCAATTTAATTGCCTTTTAAGACTCTTTTGTCGCCGAAAGCTGCAGACACTCTAAAAACATTGATTGTTTGAAACTTCTACACCCTGTAGCTCGATGACGAAGCGTTTGCGGGCTTCTGATCTGTACATTGACATTGAATTACAGAATGAAATGGACAAAATAAAACGAGAAGAGACAGAGACGTGAATATAAAACAAATTTGTTTCATACATGTGCTGATCAATGCATGGATGTTGTTTCATATGCAGAGTGCTGTGCAATCTATATAACAAAATGCCTTGTATATTTTAGCATAGTGTGATGATTGCCTTTGACAGTTTCTGGTGTTACTGAATATTTAACTAAATTTTTCAGCAATCTAATGGTGCGTCTATCGTTCGACCTGACGATCCGAGCCTGAGCCGCAGCAAATTTCGTTGAAGTTTCGTTAAAACACCGAAAAGAAATGGATCGTCTATCGCTTTTTTGACGAAACATCATTCGCGGCTCAGGCTCGCCTCGTCAGGTGCGGACGCACCATAATAGAAATGCAATAGAATACGAAGTGATAAGTTTCCGTAAAAAAATCAACAATTTTGTTTAGCAATCAAACAATTGATTGCCAAACGTTTGCAGATACTTTTCATTTTAAAGCAATACAAGGTTTATGGTACTCTGGCCATTTATCGTGCAAATAGGAGTACATTTCAACTGGTTTCCACATTAAAACACGGAAGGGATTTTGTAAAATTTATGAAAGTTCAATTTTCAGAATGTGTTTATTAATTTAGTTTTTCTATTCTTAGACAACTAAATTATGTAAAGTGTTACCAATGAAGCGAAACTCATAAAAACGTATTTTCCGAACCCTTAATTTTTAAATCTTAATTAATTTCTAAATTACATTTGAGAAGCGTTATAAAAATAGCTCAATTGTTTCAGATTTTCAAAATGTCCTTGCTCCTTCCTTATCCTTAAAATAAATGTTGCTTTAAAACAGGGACAATTATATAGTTTTTCGGAAAACTTTCATTTTTGAAAAAATACACAGAACAATAGACTCTAACTCTATAAAAACAACAATGACATACAGAGTGATTATGAAAAGTGTTGGAAAAATGCTTAGAAATAATGACTTTCAATCCATAAGAACAACATGTGAATAGTGTTTCTAAACGGTGCTAAGAAATGTTACCGACAAATTTCCGCACCTTATTATAATCAAGAAAATTTTATTTTGACAAAGTATCGTATTAATTACAGCACAAATGAACACAACGCTGAACAAATTTCTCTATTAATGATGGTTATGCCAATACGTTCAGTTCAATAAGTCCAGAGGCCGAGAAAGAGCTTCTGAATCGGAATTCAAAAAATCCAAAATTGAGCTGCAGTCTAACGGATGTAGAGCTAGAAGTAGGACTTGGTCATTTACTAGGCAAAATTAACCTCATCTCGAAATATGTACCTTTTGTATCAAATACATCATATATTAAAACAAGTACTAATTATAAAACTAAAACCAAATTAAATGTATCCTGAAATCATCCACTTATTTACCAAAGCAAATTATATTAGATTGCCATATTTGAAGCTCAGGAATTCGTAGTAACACTTTTAGAGTGCAGTTAAGACACTGTGTATAGGCAAAGTTTGAAACAAAATTCCATTCCATCCAAGTTGTTAAGCGTTGAAATATAGGGGCTCCAATCACTCATCCGTTATTCAAGGCACCAATAAAATGCAAAATTGCCATCCGACAACCATAATAACCCAAAAAAAATCGATATAAATGAAGCACATGCCTGCAATAGCAGGCGCTCTTATGCACCAGAAGAACAATTACAGCAGCATATGAGACTTATACAGGTTTGGACAGCAAACTGCAAAGCCCGCAATTGTACGTTTTGCCATTAAATTTGATTTATAACTCAAAGAAACTAACGCTGCGGATACGTTCGACCCTACGTGCCTTTGGAGGTAATCGTAAAACTCGAAACAACAAAAGTTAGTGCTTCTTATACCTGTTCAATGTCTGAACGATAAAGTTTTATTGTGCGCCTGTATATCGAATGCTGTGACATGCTTGGTATGCATGATTAAGCTTTATAGATTCAACATGAAATGTTGGCAAATTGCAGATGCAGATGTTTATTGTGTTTATGCCTGATTAGCTGGCTGTTCATTTCGTAGCGACATTTTCAACGAAAACCGAAACCTTTCAATATTTATTCTGTCCTCTGTTCAAAAATTCGAATGGATTACTCGTTTGTATGATGGCTGAAATATACTTACAAATCATTCAAACGCGTGAAATTGTATAGAACAGAAGAAAAATGTTTGCGGCATAAACACTCACTTAGGAGAAATGAATAATGGCCTCAATCTATCGAAACGTTTAGACCGGAGAAACAAATTTGAAACTTGCTCAGAATTTTCAAGAAGAGCTGGCAATAGAAAATCCAAAAATTAATAAGAATCGACTTTGATTCTTAATGGGAAAACTGGCATTATCAATAGAAATACGAAAATGCACACAATGTGTAAGAAGATTAAAATAAATGCGTAAAAGTGACCGCAGTGCAGCGAACATAAACGAGCAAAGACTTAAAAAAACACTAATTAAATGTGCTGAAAATCAAGGTTTGAAAATTAAACGAACGAAATATTTCAACAAAAACATGAAACAATATAATTAAAGGCGATTTACTATTGAAATTCGATCATTTTTCCATTCACATTATATAGAAAAAAATAAGTTCACACACGATCTACTTACTTATTTTGGTAACCAAGTATGTTGATAATGTAATCAAGTGGCATTTAAAGAATTATTCAGTTTATTACTGTCTCAATCCAGCTTATTATCTATTTACGAATTAATAAATTAAAACAATCAATTTCAATGAGTTTTCAATGGTAATTCCCGATAAGCATGATTGATTTAAACATAATTTTTTTATAATCGTCCTATCTGTATATCTGTGCACTTGTTCACGATAAACTTGAATTTGCAAAATTCTTTCATTTTCTTAATTTTGTATGGAAAATTTGGGTGTAAAGCAACTTCAATAAAAAGTGCTTCCAATTTTTGAATGAGAAAATAAACATTCAAGTGGCAAAGTTTGGGAACAACGAGCTAAAAACAATTATTTCAAACAATTCAGTCGTAATTCAGTTGAAACGGTTTCGTGTCTGCAGGAACACTTTTAATGGCAGGTTTAAGATCTGCTTTATTGCAAACTCGGAGACATTTAAGAAAACCGAGATGAAAACCCCTTAAAAACTGTGTTTTTACATTTTTTAGTAGTACCTGAACTATTTCGTGTTGGGAAATTGTCGAAAGTTTAACAAGCTGAAAACGCTGAATCTATAAATGAAAGTGTCTTCAGGAAAAGGGCTGACGAATTTTGCAACCAATTTTAAATTCCATTTCAATGTGAACTTTTGCGTTTTGGTACTGTTTTCAGTCTCAAAAAGTACAATAATTTTTATAAGCGAATATAAAATTGTATATTCATAAATTTATTATAACTGTGAAGAATATACTTTTGTGGGGAACATTTAAGAGAATATAGTTGATTTATTTGATGTGTTAAAACAATGAAAACACAGCCCAGGAAAGGACGAGTAATCTAAATAAAACAACTTTGTAGATTGCATTGTAAAAAATATGTTTGGATGCTCAATTTTCCACTCAGTTTAGAGATTTTATCTGTTTCATGTACTTTCTGATCTTAATTGAATTATCTGGCAATTGAAACTAAGCAAACACCACTTTTGGGAGCTGCACAAGTCAAAATATCATACAATTCGGTAAATAAATCAGACTTATTCCACTAAAAGTATGTTTTAATCTTGAAAAACTATTAGTTTGTTCAATTTCAATTACCAATTCATTAATTTTGGCTGTATATAATCGTGCTTCTTTGCACCAGAAACACTATTTATCAAACTCTTCATGTTTCGCCTCATTAAACGGCATGAAACATCGTCGCCACATCATTCTGATTCGTCCAATGTTTTATGAAAACCTCATCTAAAGTAAAACCTTTTCTCTATAGGAACTTAAAGAAAGTTTCAACTATGGATTGTTTTTCCCACCGGAGAATGGCAGGGCTGGAAAGTTTCTGGATGAGGAACGACGCCTTGGAGACTATCCATTTAATGGACCTGTGGGCTATCTTGAGGTATGTTGCACATGTTTTGAATTATTTATCATCACATTGAAAACATTTCCATTTAATTCCAAGTTGATTATAAATGCAAGACAAAAATCCAGCTTAATACTTAGGAGATGTTAATTGAGGCGCATCGAAAAATTTTGTTTGATTTTGGAGGCATTTTTTTTGTTATAAAATGTTTAAAGACATTTCTAATAAGCATTGAGAATTACCAAAAACAAAGATGTAAACGGAAAAGTTAAAAACGTGAAAAATAAATACTTTGCCAAAAGAATGCACACTGTTTCCCTCGATTTGCAGGCGCCATTTTTTGAATTTGAAATCATATTCTCATTCATCATAGTTTCATTTGAAACACAATACTTTTTAGATGAGAATGACTCCTTTAGATGATTTCAAGTAGTCTTGTAAATTCATGCCAATTTCATAAAATCAATGAGGTAATAATAATGGCTTGGCGAAAGAACGTGTATAGAAGCGGAAAAATTCACAGAAAAATAAACCAGATCGGAAATTTCGAAAGAGGAACGATAAGAGAGGAAGTATCGAAGACGGAGTGTGATGTGGAAACTTGCCGTTAGAAGCTGCTTCTGTATGTGATTAGGAGCTTTGTGAATGAAAGTTGGCTAAAAGTCGATGAATAGCAATATAATTAATTAATTTAAATAATCGTGCTTTAAATTTGAATACGACTTTTCTAAAATTTTATCCATTCTGAATCCAATTAATTTTATTTAGCAAGCTACCTTTCGATGAAAATACTGGAGACGTTTCTGCGATATTACCGAATTTCGTAAATTATCCCTATAAAAGTTATGATAATTGTTATGAGGTTTTCCATTATTACCGCGATGAAGAACAGCATAATCGAATAGAAGCAAACGTTTACTTATTAAATGGAAAAAAAATTACTGAGCAGCCGATTAGCAGTATTTTACTCCTCTAAAATGCCACTTGGATACACTGATTTCTGAAGTGTTTAAGCCTATTCCATTTCTTTCTGTTTATGTTCTTTGAGCAGAATTGTTTCAATCCTATTTTCCAGATTTCCCACAGTTTTCCGCACAAATCTGTAAGTGCTTATGATATGTAATTAAATTATCCAGCTATTTGAGTATAATATTTGATAATTGATTTTTAATATGTAGGTAAATGTGGCTGTTTTTCTCCCTTGTCTCATTTGCATTAGCAGGGAAGCTTATAAGGTACATAGAGATGGAAGCAACAAAATTTAGATAATTCTGGTTAGCCATGTTTTTATAATATAAAAAACTAATTCTGAACTTCAATTTTTTTATTTAAAACATTTCCTGCTGGCAATAGTCATGACAAGTATACAGTGCGTTAATAAAATGCATAAATCCAGCAGACAAACTAGTCATTACTATCCTTGAACACTAATTAAAATGCACCAGTAGTCCAACATTTTTTTTTTCGCTAAATAAAACCACTGGCGTTCTGTAAGCCACTTGATAACATTAATGGCCAATATCTCACTTCTTAACGATGATGTTTGACAAGCTATATCAGACAATATTACGAACATCCAATTTTATGAGTTGTGTAGGTTTAATGTTGCCGAACACCTCGTTTCAACCCTCATTTTTCCATCTGACGGGATTGATTCTCGAATGGGAATTTTATGAGCCATTTTATATTTCAGCTCAAGTATAAGAGAAGAGTGTATAAAATCGTCACGTTGGATGAAAAACAGTTGAAGAGTTTACACACAAGGGCCAATCTGAGGAGGTTTTTGGATTATGTTCAAAATGGCCAGATGGAAAAAGTTACGAAAATGTGCTCAAAGGGTTTGGATCCGAATTTTCATTGTCAGGAGTCAGGAGGTAAGAATAACGTTTTAAATTTTAATTTAAATACATGTTTACTTTTTATTTAATAACCACGTCACTGGTTCACGAGAAGTGATTCAGGACTATAGGATCAAAGTTCTAAGAAATTCAGAAATGTGTCTTTAAAGCCGTTTTCATTATAGGCAAAAAGGCTTTTTCTTGAGTTCTAACACATTTTGTGTGTTGAACACAAAGTGTTCTGTTACGTTTTCCAACTTCAGATTTTTTAATACGATTGTCTTAATTCAGGGTCAATGATTCTTTAAATCGAGCAGAAATTGTAAAACTTTGCTTGTTTGGCTTTACATAAAACCAAGTTGCAATTAAGAACATTTGAAGTGAATATTACTAATCGATTAATTCCATCAAAACAAACGTTTTCAAGATTAAAGGAACATAATTGGTTTAGTCTAAAGTTAAGTGCTGACTGCTTCAAACTTTTTTTGAATTAAGTAAATTATTAATCAAAATTAGTTGATCTAAAGGAAACGCAAACTCGGTATCATCGTTAAAAGTTTTTTGATAATTTAATGAAATGGATCACTCTCTCTCGATCTACATAGTAATGTTGATGCTGATAATGTGCGGAAAACAATTAGAAACATTATCACGGATTAATAATAATCATTGGACAGGGTGTCCCTTGAAAACAACAACTAGCACGAATTTTCGTAATAATTTTGAAACCACTACTAAATGTTGCAAATAATAATAAAAAATTATTTACAATTTTATTTTTTATCATTTAAGACTGCCATTCATAAATATAATTTGTTTTATTATACTAATATGTGAGCTGATTTAAATATTCCTCCAAATACAAATATAAATTATTCCATAAAAAGGTAAAAATTTAGATGAAGAAGAATTCGACTATTATTTATTTGCTGCTGCTTTTCACCTAATGTTAAGGCCACTTTAATCGGTAATTAAATTTACAAGTAATTGATTTTTTAATTTGAATGAGTTTTTTAACGTCAACAGTCAACAATTACAATGCATTTTATGTTACTCCTTCTACCATATGCGTTTGTGTATGGACAAATATTTACAACTTTCAACACATTCTTCAACAGAGTAAATATTCTTAAAATTGTTATACGCACTACTTATTTTTTCCAAGGATGTGGAAAACAACCCATCTACTACCATTGAAATTGATTGTTTTTCACTCAAGACTGTGTACCATATAATATAGTCCAATCAGCAGACGATTGACTTGAAATGAAATGGAATTGAATTGGCTTGAAATAAAAAAGAAAACATGTATTTCTTTGTTTCAAATTGTTTTGTTTATCACCGCTTATGTCGACTTTTTTTTAAATATTTGAAAGTTTCTCCTAATATTGGCGACTTCAGCACTAAACAGTGTGGTTGATACTGAGCAGGTGTTAACGAATTTTCAAATGAAATTAGCGATACAGTAAGGGAAAGATTGTTAAAATCGTTGCCCAATAATTGTAAAGATTTCCCGATTTTTAGTAATCCAAATTTTTTACTGCAAAACAGTCAACCCCCAACGAAAAGGAGCTCTCAAATAAATTGTCTATATCTTAATGTAACCGGCGTAGTTTGTGTAAAAATTAGTAATTAAGTACGTATACGAATACTGCAATAGAATATTAAGTGACACTATTATATTTGGTATCGTTTTGCAGTTGAAAATGTACTGAATTTTTCAGGTGCAATTCGTTGCAAAAAATTGTGTGTGTTATTTAAAAACGAAACTGCTTCAGTTTTTCTTTGTTCACATCGTAGATTGTTTTACTTATATAAATAAATTATGCACTTTTTAATTTATATACATATATTTGTCTTTCCAGAAACACCATTAACCATTGCCACGGGCATCAAAAAGCCGGCAAAAGTTATCATGGCTTTAGTGAACGGTGGAGCAATTCTAGATTATAGAACCAAAGATGGTTCCACAGCGCTACACCGGGCCGTGGAACACAAGAGTTTGGAATCTCTTAAAACGTTGTTGGAATTAGGAGCTTCGCCTAATTACAAGGATAATAAGGGGCTGACTCCTCTGTATTTTACAGTTCATCCGAACGTGGATCCCGTCTTTTCGGAGACTTTGCTGCACGATCATGCAACTACTGGTGCTGCTGATACCCAGGGATGGCAAGAAGTCCATCAGGTAAATTATATATTAATCTGTTTTCTTTGTTTATATGTTGCTCCGGTAGATGAGTATGCCGCTTTTACAGAGTATTTGTGAATCTAATGTACAGGGTATGGGTGAATTGTTAGTGAGTTCAAAAAAGTGGTATAGGTGTCATATGCGCTTTTTTGATCAAACTTAATAGTGTAATCAAAAATTGAAAATGTTTGCTTGTTTAAGAGATACAAGGCAAAATAAAAACATTCTCAACTTCAAAATTACCCTATTTCTATTAATTTTTTTAGTTAAGGTTATTGAGAATCGCATCAGCGCAATCAGCTTTAGTTTTATTATTTATTTATTTATATAGAAGATTGAAATTTTCATTGTTATTGATTTTTTAAATAAATCTAACGAGGATTGTATTTTCACAAACCTTTGCAGAAACTAAATACATACGCATCATGAATGCTATAAATCTCTTTCGAAAAATATGTAAACAGTGCATCGAGAACAACCGAGGTGTTTTCGAACGCTCGCGATGATCAGTTATTTGAATTCTTAATCGGAATCTTCTAAATCGTCTTAAAGTTTCTATGGTTTTTTAATTTACTATCTTGTTCCAGCTATTTCTAAATTTCAGGAGTTTTTGGGAACGTTTGGAATCAGCATGACCTTTTATAGGCAATGCTAAACCTTAAGTGAATATTCTATTTGGACGCGCTGAATCAAAAACGAACGCGCTTTTTCAATGAAAAGTATTCCATTTTATCGGCTTAGAAATGTTCAAATTGACTTCATATATTTACAGGAAAATAATGAAATAATGTCCATTATTGTTCATGGAATGATGGAAAATGGTTAAATAATAGTTTATTTGATCTTTAGACAATCCAGGACTAAAAATCGGCAATTACGGAAAAATCCAACTCGCAAAGATCAATGCAAAATCACTTTAGGATAGAATTGCTTATCTGACGCGAAAATACCATTTATTCTGCCTACTTTTGCCTATAAATATCTCTAAGCGCGCGATTTTCGTGCTGCATAAAACGCAAAGTGTTGGAAATAGGGGATGATAGCTAGAATATGTTATCTGAAAAAAAGCAATAACAATTATATTTGTATTCAAACTCTACTTTAATGCCAATGGAAGAAAACTGATCAATATCCCAACCAGAAAGTGGAAGAGAAAAACAAGAATTTGGCCGAGAAACTTGGAAAAGGCCAAATACTGTAAACAATTTGCTTTATGGTCTGACTAATTGCAACCCCCCTGAAATTTAAATGTTATGAAAGTTTCTAAACAAAAATTAATTTTTACTACAATTTTCTTTTCAAAATGTTGATCAGAATTGAAATAGAAAAGCCTTGGTATTTTGTTTTTGTTTGGGTTGTTTGTTTTTTAAATACGACAGTAATTCAGATGGAGAAGCTTGGACGAACTCAAATTTTTAAATAATTTTCAATGATATGATTCAAACATGCCAAAAGTTGAAAAACTGCACAAGAATTTAACTCATTCTAATAAAAATTGGCATTCAGCAACGTCCTCACCCGTCAAGTTTTATAATACATTAAAATACTGATGAATGCAGATTTGTGCGGCCCCAATAATTATTGACAAATGTTGACTGTTACTGTTAACCGGATGTCGAACTTCATTTGCTAGTCGTTTGTGCATTTTCCTAATGGAAAATTAATAATTAAACTACTCATAGTTCTAAGGGAATGGGTCTGCAAAGGCTCCGTTTCTGATCGACGAATTTTGGAAAATACATGGTTTTTTGGGAAAGTTGGGAAATATGTTATATTTTCCTTTCCGAATTTTTTTGGAGTTTTTCACTTGTAGCATCTAATCCAGAAAATCGGATGTTTATCATCCGTTTTCTATGGAAAAATTTTATTTCTTCAGATAAATCAAGTCAGTTGGGATTTTGTCATAAACGCTGTAACCTTTCATTAACTTTAATGTGAACCCAGTGATTAGATGTGAAGATATATTATTATAATAAGTATATAAGCGTTGATTCAAAGAGTCCTATCAGTTCCTAAAAGCTCCATAAAAGTGGCTGACAATGGATTTTAGAGCGGGTTTCTAATAGCTAAAAAATAAGAAACATGGGTCGCATTAAATATAGGAGAATTGAAAAATTGAAACCATATTTATTTTATATTATTATGATTATTGAAAAATTCTAGTCTGTGTAAGGGTGCATATGATCAGCGGGGTTTGACGTTCAAAATTTTTTTTTGTACAAAACAATTTTTGTGTTCTTGTACGGGGTTTCTTTATACTTACGCGTTTATTTGAAAGGTTATTGAAAATTTGTTGAAATGAAAGTTTTATATATTTTCTGTATTACCAACATTTTTAGTCAGAATAGCAAACATGTTGCGGAAAATCTGAAATTTTGATAGTTTGCCAATTTTTGTAATGCTCTTTCAATCAACGATATAAGTCTTCATTTCGTTTCAACTATATAAGTCTTCATGTCGTATTTTTTCAGGCATGTAAACATGGGCTGTTGAAGCACTTGGAACATTTGCTGTTTTATGGCGCTGATATGAACGCGCACAATGCATCAGGTAACACGCCGTTGCATGTGTGTGCTGTGAACGGACAAGAATCTTGCGCACGCCAGCTACTCTTTCGTGGCGCTGACCGACAGGCGCTGAATTATGCCAATCAGACGCCCTGCCAAGTTGCTGTGATAGCCGGGAACATGGAATTGGCTGAACTGATTCAGAATTACCGTCAGGAAGATGTTGGTGAGTGCAAATTTTCTCTTTATAGTCGAAAACATTGCATGTCGTTGCTGTGAAGAGAGGAGATGTTTTCAAGTAAAATAAACGCAATTCTCGGGCTACATTAAGTTGAGCAACTAGGCCTTAATGCAGTTCAAGATGCGCTCTAGATCTCCGGCAGATAAACCAAATAAACGCCATTGAAACAACGATAAATCCTTTGAAGTAACGCTGTAAAAATTATAGCGGTACCACATGACATCTCTTCGCCTTGAGTAGCTGCATTTATAGCATGCACCTTGAGTGTAAATGTCGTCAAAATTTAACATCAAATCTACCGTAACATTCCGAATTTAATTAAAACTGTTGGCAATATAAGCCGGTGATTAATATTGACGGTAAAGTTCTAAACTCTTGATTGATATGAGCACAAGGACTGGTGTGAAGGTAGTGAAACTGGGAAACGTGTCAGCTGAAGATCTTTTAAACGACCGCAACTTCTGCTAAGAAATGTATAATATTTAACAGTGATTATCGATTTCTATAAAGAAAAGTGTTTTTTGCAGTTTAGAAGCTTTTTATAATTTACGAACCCTAATTGACGTATTCTATATGGCAAGGTAAAAGAACTCTAAGATACCTGATGATCATGGGCAGAACCAAATACAACAATAACCGGAATATTATTGGATTTAAAGTGTATGCATAGTTATCATTCTTCCGATATTTCAAAACATAATTTTTATGGACCTTGACTTTCAATAGCAGAGAATCTGGACATTTTTTCTGAATAATACTTTAGTCAGATCGAAAAATATCTCTAAAATTGTATTTCTGTCCATTCTGCAGAGAAATAGAACATAGAAGGAATGGGACTTTTGCTTCATTTAGTTATGGAGCCAAATAAGAGAAAAAATACTCTTATGGATCGCTACCATTCAAGTAAATTTCAATCCCATTTGTTAGATCAGAATTTACAGAGTGATTTGAAATTAGCGTCATTTGATCAAAACTTCCAGATATCTGGAAACAGCACTGGATGAAATATAAATTTAATAAGTCGCTTGATCCTAGAACCTAAACTTAATAATGTAGTTAATAATTAAGTACACCTGTGGGTAAACCGATTTTGTTCAGCAAAGAAAGTCCACGACCAAATACATCTATTCTAGGCATGGAAACTCAGTGAAGGTTTTATGCAACTTTTTACGAAAGTTTTACGCAACTGCCGACTCTTCTATAAAAAAAATCTAGTTCCAAAGTAAAGCCAGTAGAAAGTTGAAATTTTGACATTCTGTAGAAAGCGTTTTTTAATGAAATTTTGTCGTAAACTTGCACATAAATGTCTGATTTTCACATTTCGTGTGACTTCTGTGACAAATCTACCAGAATTTACTGATGCACGTTGTTATAACTGAATCGAATTTTCAATTCTCTATCTAATTGGATAAAATCGAACTCTAAAACGGTTCTTCGATTTCGCAATTCAATAAAAACAGCCAAAACTGAATTTCTTGACAAGAAAACACAAAACTGGAACCCAAATTTCCATATCTGAAGCGGTTCTTTCGAGAAAGCTTCGGAATGAGCATGATTTAAAAACACAAAGTTGCCCAAAATACTCCCAAAGTTTAAAAAATAATAATTACGAAAGAACCAAAGGAATGAATCCTTTAATCTGTGAGTGTAGTTATTTAAAAAAAGTTTGACTTCTGAATATGTGATTTACTTAAATCAGACGGTATTCTTATCACTTGCAAAGCATATTAAAAATTGGTGATATTTTCGAGCAATACGTGAAAAAAAATGGTTCTAAGAAGAAATAAAAAAAGAAGTCTTGAATAAAGCGAGACAACTTTTTCGATTTCGAAGAAACACTGTCGAGGAAAAATCAAATTGCAAATACTATATAAGGACTGGATTACTTTGGTGTTGATGATTTCAATCGGGGATTTTAATCGAGGCAACTTTATAGTAATTTTGTTAAGAATCCCCAGAGCTTCTATGGAACTGATCGTTTAAATATTTCAATTCTGATATTACAGTACAGTCTTATGTGAGGCTGTTAAAAGTTGCGACTGCAGTCTTTTCGCACCTAACTTAGGCCAAAAATGTTTCATTTCTATTACTAGAAAGTTAATCATTTTTGATTTAAAAGGTTTTTTAATAAAAACCGTCCATCATCTTTTACAACTTCTTTAGAAACCGAGCCTTTAATGTTTCCTTACTTAGATCTCGAGAGTTAAAAGGGATTTTTTCATCAGTTGCTGAAGAAGATTTAAAATTTTATATTACCTACTATTAATTGATTTTAAATATTTTATAATAAATGGTAGATTTGAATGTTATTAATTAGATAAACAGTTCTTGCACGTTAGTTAAATACTTGACTGCATGGCAAATTCTAAAAAAATGTTACTCTCATCATATCCCTGACATTTACAGGGTGTTTCCTCATAAGTTGACACACTGCTAGATTAATTTAAAAAAATTGTGAAAAGTTGTAAATACTAAATTTATTCATTATTACAAAAAAAATAAGGTAAAATTTAACGCGTAAGTGTACAAATTTGACATAAAGTATTTTTTTTATGGAACATCTTATATATTTAGACACAATAGAGCTCGATAGGATTTTGTTCCTGTTTCCAGAAATGTATATGTTGCCTATTATTTCTGGGAGCCGTTGTCTCTATTTTGCGTTTTAAAAATTATAAATAGTAACAAATCAAATCAAAATGTTTAAATTACCATTGTAAATACTCGACTGAAATTCGAACCACTCGTTCGAATATAAGCAAATATCTGTTATTCTATGCCATGGATAATGCGATATTCTACGTGTATACTATCAAAACAATTTTAATTTTTAATACAACATTTAAAAATATGAAAAAGCTATTTTGAAAATAGCAAACTATTAGAAGAAAAATTTCCCGAAAACCGTTAAAGATAAGTATAGGAGATGCTACATAAAAATTGATTAGAATGTTGTAGAGAACTGAAAGAGGGAGGGGTTTCTATATACAAAAAGTTGGTCTTGATATTATAACTTTTTTGGATCATCCTGTATAAATAAACATTGGTTCAGAAAACGCGCAATTAAAAACGAAAATCGACGAGCCCAAGCGATTTTTCCCAAAAAAAACACCTGATTTTGAAATAATTGCACGCAATACATTTGCCGGCCACTGTATATGTTTACATCATTATAATCTTTAATCGTTTTCGTTTGTTAATTTTAATTTCAGATTGAGCAAGTCTGAATAAAATAGCAATAATAAACAGCTTTTGTATTTTCCACCTTTCACCATTTTGAATTAAATGATCTAGAGAAGGTGTTAACTTATGACCAAAGATCCTGTACACCCTGTTATATCAAGTTTATAAAATCTGAAATTGTATTTGAAACAACTGCCGACATATGTCCTAAGTTTTATATGTAGGCTTCACGAAAATCTGCGGGCATTGATATGAAATAAAATACATAAAATTTAGACAATATGAGCAAATTTCGATTTTATAAACCATTATCATACACACACTGTTATATTCTGTACTATAAAGCATGCCCTCCTGCAACGCTACTTTTTCAGTCCCATTCCGTGCCACCCCCAGCTACAACCCCAAAAGACGGAGCGCTATAGGATTGCTGACCAGAGCGCCCTCACTAAGTACCCTTAATCGACCCCCGTCCCCCTGTCCTAGCGACCGATCCTCCCTCCCCTTCAGCTCAGCGAGCTCGAGTCTCAGCGACGGAAGCGTGCCCCCCGAAATGGATACCGCCAGCATTGTCACAGGTAAGCCGAATCATTTTTTTCTCTCACATTTCATGTACGATCTTCGTATGTTGTTTCGTCGTTGCTTTATCGAATTTTCATTGTTTGTCTTCAGGCTGGAATGGCATTTATTGGACGTGTAACTGACTGTCGAATTAGCTATTAATTAGCTGGAAGTTGTTAGTCTATGAACTACTGTGACACACTACATATACACACGCACACAATCAATCTTTCTTACAGATTAGGATCACTAAAATTTGACGTGATGGATATTAACTTTATATTAGTGAAATTATTTAACCAAAACCCCAAATGGAGCTGATGAATAAATAGCTCAATGCAAAATAGTCTCCTATTAAGCTCAACAGACAAACAAAAGGTCCCAAAGGCATAAGAAGTTGTTGCTTGCTCAGATCCCAAATAATTTGGCTTTCCCCCGATTGGCCAATAAATTGGCCTTCATCGACTACACTTGGATATTGCTTTCACATTAAATTGGTGCAATCTCAGGGAAACCAACATTTCAATACGGGTGTTTTGTGTTGGTGACAATGTGTAGAATCTACACATTTTCACTGTAGATACTGTTGTAGATCTACACTGAAGATCATAGCAGATGAGCCAAGAGCCATATTATTTGCTTATGGCTCTAGCAAAGAAGCCACAAATTTTTTTAATTAATTTACTAAACTTGTTGCATACAACACAGATTTTCAAAAATTTCCAGAAAATTTTCACAATCAGCAATAATTCCCAACATGCTTCAAGTCCCCAATAAATCGTCGATTTATCGATTAAAGTGTCGTTTAATCATGTGCAAATATTTAAGAGTGGCATATATTTTCAATATATGCCAAGGCTTAAAGTAGCAACAACGCTACACATAGCAACTGATGATGGTGGAAAACACGAAAACGTATTTTAATTGATAAATAGACAATAAATGACTGAAGCTGAATTGATTTTGATTTATGAACAATAAAAAAAAGTTTTTTAATCTTCTATAAAGCCGTGCTGTAACAGTAATATCTGATATAACAAAAACCACTCTTCAAATCACCATGAAAAAACGCTCAAGCTGCCAACCACGCAATATGAAAGAAAATGTTTCGAACTCAAATAATGACGTCACTGCCACATAGCTTGGTACAGACTAGAAGTGAAAAGAAGAGTCATAGTTGAATTCGGGAGAGTAAGTGTAAGCTTCATATTTTCATATAAAAATAAAATGTAAAAAAATGAAATAAAATAAATGAAATATGAAATAAAATTCATATGAAAGTTAAGAGCCCTGAACTCTTTACAGTTTCATCCTGCAACGCACTGTTGCTGTAGCAAGAGCAACGTTGTAGTAAGAGCAGAAAATTACTTTAGAAAACATTCGCGGGTTAATTTGCCATAATTTTGTACTGAAAATCACTAACGCAAGACAAAAAGTTTCCACACCATTAAAAATATGACTTTTTTCAATAAAATGTTAGATCTAGATATTTTTAAGACATAATATTTTGCACCATAGTTCTCGTTATTAAATAACACCCTGTATATTTTATTTACAAAATTGTCATTTTGCTAAAAGACTATACGTTAACACAAGCGATTATCATGGAAAAATTAGCAAGTTTACAAAACTCTCGTAAACCACCGCTCACCTTCGTAGTCAGTTTCATTACCTTATGTTTCTTTAATTAGTAATCGAACTTTATCTAAATTTAATGATGTAACAGCCGTTAACGTTTATATCTTCTAAGTTATGATCAGAATATAAAGGTTCTTCAACCCATCGTAACTTTGATAAACCTAATGCAAGCTTCCAAAGCTCGTTATCATTTTAATTTTTCCACTTCTTTGAAGCCGAAGTAAGAAAATTCCAAAACTGTTCTATATTTTCTACCCAACAGCTAATTCTTCAAAAATTTGAATTTCATCGATAAACTCGAAAACCTGGTGCAAAAAGCCTTTAGAAAAACCATTAAAATACCGCTGTTGAATAACGCAGAAAATAATTTCAGTCCAAAAAAAATACAACGCTTGTGTTGTTATCAGGTAGTTCCAAGTATGACAAAAATCAGAAATACAGAAAATGCAAGTTTACCGTATTCGTTGATTTACAAACATGGACGCACACGAACTCTTTGGACTCTAAGCAGCCGAGATTTTATCCGATGAGGAAACTTTGAAAAAATAATAAAAGGGCTTTGAGTTAAAAGTTCCTTAGAAGTAACTGGACCGTAGTCAATCAGTTTGCTCTTTTCTACAGGAAAGTTGCTAGTCAATGGCAAACGGACTAGATGGAACAATTTTACATATATGAAACAGCGTTCTAATTTCTTAAAACTCTCGAAAAAAGTGGAAAATTTGCTTCACAAAAACTTAAAATTGTAGACTGGTGCTGCTGATAAAAAACTTTTTTTCCATTCTGAACTAATTCAGTTTTTATCTCATTTCCTTTAATCACTAACTGTGAGGAGCTCGGAAGCATCCGAACCGAGCTCATTTAAAGAATATTTGATTTGAATAACCATTAAAGTCCAAAGTGAGTATTCTAATTAGTAGCGCTGAAGCAAAAACGGGCGAGCTTTTTCATTGAAAAGTATTCCAATTTTATCGGCTTAGAAAAGTTTAAATTGACTATATACTACAACACAATAATGAAATACTTATTATTTTTCATGGAATGGTTAAATGATCTTTAGATCTCTAGACAATCCAGGAATCGACAATTACGTAAAAATCCAACTCGCAAAGATCAATGCAAAAGCACTTTAGGGTCGAATTGCTTATCTGAGGCGAAAATGCCATTTATTCTGCCTACTTTTGCCTATAAATATTCTTAAGCGCGCCATTTTCACGCTGTATAAAACCCATACAGTTGGAAATAGGGGATGATAGCTAGAAAATGTTATCTGAAAATAAGTAATTCTATTTATATTCAAACGCAAATTTAATGACAATGGAAGAAAACAAATCAAAATAACAACCAGAAAGTGGAAATGAAAAAAAATAAATTGCAAGACCTCCGAATTTTAAATGTTATAAAAGTTTCTGCAAAATGATAATCAGGATTTAAATAAAAAACACTTTGTCAATTTTTTTCGCTTGGGTTATTTCGTCGACAGCGATTCAGATGAAGAAACTTTCACGAACTCAAATCTTTAAATGTTCTTCATTAAATTCTGATAGATAAAAACTCACCTAAGGTTGAAAACTTGCACAAGAATTTAACCCATTTTAATAAAAATTGGCATTGAGCAATGTCCTCACCCGTCAGATTTTATAATACATTAAAATACTGATTAATGCAGACTTCTGCGGACCCAATAATTAGCAGCTCCTACGCCACTTAACCATTATTCACGAATGTTGACTGTTACTGTTAACCGCATGTCGAACTTTATTGGTTAGTAGTTTATCCATTTTCCCAATGGAAAATTAATAATTAAATATTCTGGGGTGGGTTCAAATGCATATTCATATTCGTTTCGGCCTAAAGTGTCCGAAATTAAATATTCCGCTTCTACCATTCTTTCAAAGTTCTTTGAACACTCCACACAATCAATGCTTTGGACGAAAGGAATTTCAATTATCTAACTGAAAATAATTTTATATCAAATGCAAAACACCTGATCTACTATTCATATAAAATACAGCGCCCGATTGCAGTTTACCACCTTTACTCTAATAATATCCATAATTTCGTAACGTCGTAACTAACACGTTACATTCAGCTTTGCATTTATTCCTACACAGATTTACCATCTTGCATTTCCGTGTTGTTTAATGTTTACCATTATGAAGATTATGACATAACATACATTTAGAATGTATACGTATTTGCCATATACCTTGAGACATAAAGGTCGTATGCGAGGCATTTCCTTAACGGTTATGGAATTACGGATGCTTTTTGAGAAACGAACTAGATTTTAGCATGTATATTTTAAAAGCGTGGTAAAAATGTTTGTCGTCAAATGCGTCTTAGCGTGAACTTGAACCTAATTCTTAAGTTGTACTGAAATCAAATTTTTCCCGAAAATCTGCAATTTCTTCGACAGAATTTTATTAATTATTCGGGAAACATAACGGGTTCTTCACGTTTGAAACATTTTAAAATGACTGAAATGGAAGTCTGGAATATTTTACAATATGAATTTCATCTAACAAATAATAAAATAATAATGAAACTTGTTTACCTCAAATTTATTTCATTGTCAAACTAGTTTCCATTGAATTATTTCCTTTTTTAACATCCCTTTCGCGATTGTTTATGAAGTTGTGTAGACAGTTGCAACTGAATAATTTACTAATTTCGTAAAATGTGTATTGAAATTCAAATAGTTTCTATATATTTTTTGAAAATATTTAAGTTGTCGAAGAGAGCATACGTTTTCGTTAGTATTCAAAAGAAATGTTCGAAAAATTCGTATATTTTTGCAAGTCTTTTGAAAAAATCGTTCAATAGTTGAATCTGAGTTTTGAGTTGAAATAAAGGAAATAAGGAAAAATCAAGTCTTATTTGGTTTATATATTACTTTCTCTTATATCTCAATATAATTCTTATGAAATATGAAACTTTGAGAGCCAACATGGCAAAAGATCCATACACAAAGTAACAAAAACAGGTAACCACCCAAAAAATTGAGCTACGAAACACTATACAGGATGTTACTTAAGAACGTAGTCAAACTTCAGGTAATACTATGAGTTGAGATAATTTGACTAACTTTACTTAAGAAGAAAAATATGGGGTGGGATGGTGAAAAATTTTTATTTCTAATATACAGGGTGTTGAATACAAAAATACGTTTTGTATTCAACAAAAGGGATTCGGGCTTTAACCTCGGTAGCATACGGACGTACCAGTGCGAGCGTATATAAATACCTAAGATATTTGCAAACTGCGAGGAATTTTGGTAGTTTTTTGGACAACCAATAATACCGGGTCTGTCATAAAAGTAAAATGCATCCCGGGAGCTCACAGTCCGAATCGGACACGGCCTCCCAGGACGACGGCTTCA